CTAATAGAGCTCAGTTGCCGTATCAACTCAGACATTATTTTCAAAGTAAGAAAGTTAATGTTGAGGTACATGTCTTCTGTAACATCCCAGTTTTCCACTGTAGATAAAGACAAGAGACAAAGCTGTATTTTAGGATCAGAGCACTAGAGTGGAACTAATACTCTGTTAAGCTGGGAAAACTAGGACTTACCTTGGCTTTGGTAACACAACGTGAAGACACTCTACTTGTATATTTTGAAATCCCCAAATTCTCTTGTAGAAAATGTCAATCAAGCACCATCAAAATATTGTGCCTTTTCAGCCTCTCATCATAAGCAAGCAGTGTTTTCCATTATGGGTTAGAGATAAGGCAGAGTGCTTTATGGATCTAACAACTTCTGAAGCTATTCAAGAGCAAAAGGATGTGATATGTACACAGAGAGAGGGGAGGAGAGAAACTGTTATATATATATATAACTGTATATATATAGTTATATATAGAATACCATATATAATATATGATATGGATAGAAAATATGTTATATGTAGTTATATCTGCAGTATATATTATGTAGGGAGGGATATAGACAGACAGTGAACGTGTTGCATGTATATTATGAGAAGGTCTTCAGTTATAGTTTGCCTGAAAGCGGTAAGTATCTTCCCGCCGAGCTGGGCCGGGCACGGTTTGCTCAGCTGTGCAGGGCACTCTTCTAAAGCATTTATTATTTTAAGCACAGCAGTGGCCCTAATACTTGGAGGGGTGCCTGGTTCAGGTGACTTGTGTTTCCCTACATTGTCAGAAACAGTTTTCCCGATTCTTAGTCTTAAGAATTATTGGTTCAGTTTTCAAAGTTTCACTAATATCAAAGGTTAGCTTTTCTTGTGACACGTGAACTTTCTCACTCTGTCAAGACCGTTTTCTTAGCACGGCCCGTCACGGACACTGGCTTCCAGATCTCGGACTAATAAAGAGATGCTTCTTTACACTATTTCTTTCTCAGGTCACGCTGCCAGAGCAGCAGGTCTCTGAGCCATGTAGATGTCAAACCTTGAACCGGGTCTGGTTGTATAAGGCTTTCATGGCACGTTTAACACGACATGACTCAAAGTTTCAAAAGAGCTCAGTTCACTTGCATCTCACATACTTGGAGAATTCCCTTTTTCTTACGGAAAGTACCATTTTCTTGAAACATAGCTGCCCTTCCAATTGCATAAGGAGAATCCCATAATCATGAGAGAGGAGACCCCTCGGGTCGGTTGTACAAATGGTCCTGGAAAGGGCGGGAGCAGAGAGGAGCAGCAGGACAGGAGGCTGGTTCGTGGACTGACCGGGAGCCAAGGGTCATCCAGGCCCCCTGGGAGGGGCTCAGAACTTGTCTTTGCAGAGGTTTCAGGAGGATGTCAGGTGGGTGGGGAGGGATGAGCGTGTTGCTGGCTGCACCAGCATTACCTGGAATTCCTGCGAAAACACAAATCCCTGGGCCCTGCCTGTGGACACTCCGAGTCAGCCGGACTTTCTGGAAGACCCAGAATCTGTCTTAAATTTTAACAAGTGTCGGGTGGGTCCGATTCCTTCTGTGTGGTGGTTTCGGAACACTTGATTTGATTATTCCAAGCAGGACTCACCAGGTTGATGTCAGCTTGTGCTGTGCTGGTGAGGGTTTAACCTTCACACACACACACACACACACACACCAAAAACAGGCCTTGATTCTGAGCCTTGCTGAGTTCTGATGCCCACACGTGTACACACACCGTGGTGGACATGGGGACACAGAGCTGGGAATAGATGCCCATGAGGGGCCCCCATGGCCAAGCCTGCAGAGCTGCCCAGCAGCCAGTGGGAGGGTCCAGGGCCAGTGGGTCACCTAGAAAAGGGAACTGGGGAGACAGGTGTGAGCCCAGTGTCCAGGAGCTCCCAGTGCCCGGTGGGTGCCGTGTGTGCATGCAGTGCGGGGGCCTGATGAGAGGGCAGATGACAGATACGTGTCCCTTCCTTTATTTGCCATTTTTTACAACAATGCGTTAGTCTGTAACAGCTCCAAAAGCGACTGATGAGGTTTTTTAATTTCTTTTTATTTTTTAATATTTATTATTATTTTTTTTGGCTGCGTCGGGTCTTTGCAGCATGCAGGATCTTTCGTTGCGGTGTGCGGGTTTCTCTCTAGTTGCAGGACGCAGGCTTAGTTGCCCTGTGGCATGTGGGATCTTAGTGCCCTGACCATGTCCCCTGCATTAGAAGGCAGATTCTTAAGCACTGGACCGCCAGGAAAGTCCCGAGGTTTTTTAATTTCTTAGTTTCATTAGAAACTCAGGGACTTCCCTGGTGGCGCAGTGGTTAAGAATCCACCTGCCAATGCAAGGCACGTGGGTTCCTGCCCTGCTCCGGGAAGATCCCATGTGCTGCGGAGCAACTAAGGCCGTGTGCCACAACTACTGAGCCCACGTGCCACAACTACTGAAGCCTGTGCGCCTAGAGCCCGTGCTCCACAGAGAAGCCACCGCAATGAGAAGCCCGCGCACTGCAAGGAAGAGTAGCCCCGCTCACTGCAACTAGAGAAAGCCCGCGCGCAGCAACGAGGACCCAACGCAGCCAAACATAAACAAATTTATTTTAAAAAAAAAGAAAAAGCAACTCCGACTTTGACACTTTACTGCGCTTTAGCACATGGCGGTTTGCTTTTCTCACTGACGCAGAGAGAGCCCCACTGTCGGCTCCGGGCTTAACGCGGCCCCAGTGGCTCAGGAAGTGTCCTTGCTTGTGTGCCCTCCCTGGGTTTTCAGACCGTGGCCCAGATGCCTCACGTCTTGCTTTAGCTCTTCTATGTTTTAAGAAGATTTTTGTGCATGTGTTTCTTATTCGTCCTCAGCAGAGGGCTGGTTACCCAGTCGTTGCCAGAGGTGGCCTGAAGTGGACATGTCGAGTTCCTTTGTTGTTTGGTTGGGCCGGTTTGTTGGGAACGTGCTTTGTGTTGGGTGCCACCGGGAACAAGACATCGAATGACTCCTCAGCCCTTGCAGCCGGCCGGGGTCCGACGTGTGACACCACAGCTGCTGTGCAGAACGAAGAGGTGACGCACGCGGGTCCAGGCAGAGTGTCAGGGAACTGGCAGAGGGACAGGAGGGCTTCCGGGGGGAGGTGGCACCGGCCAGGCCCGCACATGTGAGATGGGAGGCGTCACTGTCCTCGCCTTCAGCCGCAGCTGGTACATCAACCCGGCAGACACCGCAGGGACCAGCAGCTCCCGACACCAGCTGAACCCACCCGGCGCCCGTGCCCAGGAGGGGTCGGGCCCAGCCCACGGGCCTGTCTACTGGTCCACACTTCGCATGCTAACCCAGCCGCTACACAGAAACATGAAGTGCAACAGAGGAAACATCTGGGGTCCATGATCTCCTCTCTGGGGAGCCTCTTAGAGTCATCCTGACGAGAGGCCTGAGGGTTAGGAGGTAAACTGATCTGCTGTGTATTCCTCTACAGCCAGCTTCTGGAAGAAAAGAGGTGGTGGAAGTGAACTTACTCGGGAATTATTCAGGTTAAAGCCAGCTCCACTCTCCGCAAAAAAAAAAAAAAAAAAAAAAGAAAAAGAAAAGAGAAGAGGAAGCACAGCATATCTAAGGACAGAAAATTAAAAGGCAGTTTTTTCAAAAATGTGAAGGGGTCATTTCAGATCCTTATGGAAAAGAAAGGAGTGTACCAGCCCCAAGCCCGGGACTGGGCTGAAACCCAGCGTCCGCAGGCCTGGCTGGCTGGGACCCAGAGCTTGAGCCCCAGGGAGCCGCAGGCCTGCAGGTGCCCAGGGCCCGGGGCAGCCGGGACGCCAGCGGGAGGAGTGAATTCTGAGCGGCGTGTGGGGGAAGGGCAGTGACCCAAAATTCGTGGGCCTGGAGATCTGAAAAAAGGAGAAACGCCGGGCCAAAAGGAATGGAACAGAGCTCTTACCTCGGCAGAATACAAACGAGCTCCCTGCCGAGGAGGGAAACAAAATGTCACCACCTCGAACCTGAGGGATGCTCCGGGGGGGCAGGCAGCCCCAGCACTGGACTGGCGACGCGACGCCCTTTAAAGGACAGGAGGGACTTCCAGGCAGAGTGCCAGGTGTCCTCGTGCTGCTCGAGTCCTACCTGTCCAGCGCCACCTGGGCAGATGACAATTTGGGGGTGGGGGTGTGTGTGAGCTCTCCGCTTGCTGTAGTGCCAAGTATGGTTCCATCCAACCTAGAAAACCCGCCAGGGACGCCTGGCCCCGGGTCCGGACTGAAACAAGCAGGTGGCTGTCAGAGCCCGCACTCCGGGCCACAGCCCAGGAAGGGACAATGTGGCAGCTCTTCCAGAGGCCAAGGTGGCCCTGCGGGCTGTCCAACAAGAGCAAGCCCTCGGCCGTGGCGAAGGGAGAGTGGCAAAGGGGGTCCAGCTTGGGAGGGTCCCCAGGGCCAGTCAGAACCTGGCGAGGATCCCCGGCCGGGCAGCCCGAGGCCGGCTCAGAGGAGCCGAGGGTCTCGCCCAGGAGCGCCCCGTGCTACAGCCGGAAGGGGGTCTCCCGCCGGCCCGCCCTCCCCCGCCGCCGCCGCCGGGGGCTGGGAGGGGCTCCGGAGACTGGGCGGGGGCGCGGCCCGAGCGAAGGTCTGTGCGCTCCAGCGCCCTCTCCCTGCCGGGGGCTGCCCTGCGGACACCGGCCGGCCCGGGATCCCCAGCCTCGGCCCAGCCCCCGTCCTGGGTGCGGCCTCCACAGCCCAGGATCACCCTCGTCCTGCTCACGGCCGGAGACGGGCCGTGTGATCGGTCACGCGCTCGCTGTGGCGGCGTCGGTGGGTTGCACGCCACCCCCAGAAGGGGCTTCCCAAGCACACCCGACCGTGGCGCCGTGGGAAACTCTGGCCCAAACTGTGGGCTGTCCCCGAATGACAGAGGGCCCTGAACAAAGGATCCGCTTACGACTCGACCGTCGTGGTCACTCGAGATGACGTTCGTCATCAGGATCACCGACTTGCGCAGAAAGAACAGAAGGAAAAGACGTCTTTATGGAATCAAACGCTTTTATTTGGAATAAGCATCAAGAAAATGAAGGGGTTGCCTCATAAATGCAGGGCCGCAGAGTACTCAGCGAGAGGTCAGAAAATAATGATAAAAATATTGTGCAGCAGATTAAAATAACTTGAAACTACGATCACTGGCTATGAAGGGCATCCACATGGAACCACACGGGAAATAAATGGTAAAATCTTCAGGCGATTTGCTCTCTTGGCTGCCCTGGTGGCAGGGGAGCCAGCCCGCAGACCTCAGCGCTGCTCTGACCCCCAGTCCACCGGGGCGCCTGCCTAGTGGGGAGCAGGTCGTGCTCTGCCTGCTGGGCTCCCAAGGCCTCCCCGCGTCTCTGAGCCACCTGACAGGGGCTCGTGCTTCCAGCGAACGGGCTCCAGCACGGGCGGCAGTGGTCGCGCGAGGCTTCACTGGGGCTGCAGCTGGCTCTTCAGTCTGGCAAGTCTCATGAGGCACCTGTCCCTCCACTCCCTCCTGGCAGCTAAGTGCTCCGGGTCATCTGGAACCTTCACGCACATGGCCTGGAAACAGGAAAGAAAAAGAAAAGACAGGAGGGAAAAAGGGGAAAGAAGCATGAAGAGCAACTAACTTGGCAGGGGGGAAATTTCTCCTATTTATGCAAACTCTGAATCTGCTTTCAGAGACAAAAGAAGCCTGGCAAACCCTAAACTAATGTAACTTTCCAAATCCAGAGGGGCCGACGGTTCCTTCAGACGAGTCAAAATGACCTGGTAGTTCCTTGGTCACACCGCTCAGAGGGTCCCCTGAGACCCTGACGGGGCTATGAACAGTCAGGGACGTGGAACCTCAAAGTCAAGCCAAAGAGCCTGGCTACAAACGAATCCTCGCCTTCCACCGGCAGGGAGTCTACACACCTGGTGCACTTTTTCAGCTGCGGCCCCGGAAAATTCTGGAACGGGTCCAAAAGTCTTTAGGACATGTTTCATGCCCTCGCTGTACCTGTCACAGTAGCTTAACATACCTGGAAGCACAAGAAAACAAGAATGCCCAAGTCAGAGAACTCTTGTCTGCGGCTCAAACCAAGAATGTGTCCAGAGGGTGTTGCCCTGGGCTCACACTCCCGTGGACGAAGCAGGGCTGCGGGTGGGAAAGGCACCCTGTCAGCGGCCCTGGGCTCACTCCTCAAGCTTTTCTCGGTAATAAAGGCCCGAGAAGCAACCCGACCTCCAGGCCTGGGTCAGCACCTCTCAGGGACGCTGGGTCGGCCCACGTTCCTGCTTTGATTCCTCGACTATCACATTAATCCTGTTTTCACCACAAGCGTCTCCTTCAACGATGTACCTATGAGGTTACTCGTGTACATGGCTCGAATGCATTTTCTAAGGACCAAAGATGTCAAGTTCAACTAAATCCGTTGCCCACTCCGCTCTTATCCCTGGATTCTACCTGGCACTTGCCCCACCGGGCGGCGGCGGCCTTAACACGGGCTCTTCACCCCAGGGGCTGGCTAGGCTGTGGCCGCTGGGTTAGGGCGCCGCCAGCCACCCGCCCCGACCTGCATCTGAGCCCCGGCCACACGACTTCCCACTACGCCGGGCCCTCAATCGAAGATGGAGCCCTAGGATTCTGGTGGAGAAGCACATGGACAAGAGGCTCACCCTGGCGGGGCTTGGGGGCGGGAGGGAAGCGCCGCACTTAGGAGCAGCGCGCGGGCTGCCTGGCGGAGGCGGACTCCAAGAGGAAGCCCGTCAGCTGCCCACACGCGGGGCGGGCTTGCCTGGACTCACCAATCGGCACACAGCGTGGCCCTCCCTCCCCCATCCCTCCCTCCTGCCCGCCAGGCAGGTCGCCTCGGGAGCCTGGCCCCGGAGCCGCTGAGCTGCGCTGGCCCCTTGCCAACCTCTCTCAAAACCAGGGAGACTCGGCAGTTGGTCAGTCAGGCTAAAAAGATAACAAGGGAACAAACGAAACTGCAGGATTTGCAGAGATCCAGAGCTGGGCCCTCACCGACCCCACGAAAGCTGCGCGATTCATTTAAAATAAAAATGATCTCCGCTAGTTACGCCTTAAAAAAGAAAAACAGCTTCTGTGGGGTTGCTTTTGGTGCATCTCCTAAATTCGCTGATTTCAACTGCATTTGTCCCAAATCGTTTGCCTTCTCTCAGAGGGTGATAAAATGATACCCACTTTGTCTTAGAAGAGAAAGTGGGTCGAAGGGTGAGAATTGGAAAATGCAACGTCTCTGACGTTAGCACCTGCAATTAAGTGGTGGACGCTCCCTTTTAAGATGAGGGGTTTCACTGTGTTTACCAGAAGCACCAGGGGACGGTCCAGAGCTCAATATTTACTTCACTGTTACGATTTGTTGGTTTATTCAAACTCAAAGTGATAAAATCCAGACACAAATACAGCTGACTCGTGTTGGGGAAGCAGAGACGCTGAACCAAGTGAGCTGGAGACACCGAGTGAGAAAAGCGCAGGCAGATGTGCTGCAGCCGCGAACTCACCCACTTTCGGAGAAACAAGCTGCCCCGGCCCCCAACCCCCAGCAATGGGCCACGGGACTCGATTCAGGTGCCGTGTTTCACCTCTGGGTCACTTTACGTTTTCTGAACGAGTGTCCCTCTTTCACTGCCCCTGTGAAGTCATCTGAGTCTCCCAGGGGCTTTCTAGAATCTTTTTTTCCCTACTGCCTTTTATACAATTTGTAGTTTTAAAAGGGCTTTTATTTCTTCAGAACAGAATAAAATATGGTGAAACTCTTTACAGTTCATAACTTCTCCCCAACTTGTTCAGAAAACCAATTAAAACTTCAGTCTCATTAGCATAAAAACACTTTCTATAACATGCACTCAGCTCTCAGGGTAAACAGCCCGTTGTTTGTGGCGAGGCTGGGAGCCTCCACTCGCTCCAGACACAGGAAGTTCACAGTGACTTACAGTCAGGATCCGCGGTGTGCCTGCCTTACTGACAACTTTCCAGTGAAGGTATCACTCTTACTATTATTTGCAACACATCCCCTTCCATTAGAGGGTAAAAAAGGAGGCCTTTAAATATTTCCAACGATAATTTTGGCTTCTCTACACCATGAAAGGTGAACTGAGTGGGAATTATTCTAGAATAACAATTTCATTGAAATTGGAAATTAGGAACTTCCCTGGTGGCGCAGTGGTTAAGAATCCACCTGCCGATGCAGGGGACGCGGGTTCGATCCCTGGTCGGGGAGCTAAGATCCCACACGGGATCCCGCGGGGTGGGGCAACTAAGCCTGCGCACAGCCCCTAAGACCCAACACAGGCTAATGAATAAATAAAAACTATGTAAAAAAAAAAAAAAATGGAAAGGAAAAAAACCACTTCACCTTTTATCCCACTAGTCTGCCCTTCCCCCATATCTTCTTTACATCCATGCCCTCTGCTCTGTCAACAATACCCTCTTCCAAAAACTCATAGAGCTTACCTTTTTAGAAGACTCTGAACCTAACTTTTTTTTTTTTTTGCGGTACGCGGGCCTCTCACTGCTGTGGCCTCTCCCGTTGCGGAGCACAGGCTCCGGACGCGCAGGCTCAGCGGCCATGGCTCACGGGCCCAGCCGCTCCGCGGCATGTGGGATCTTCCCGGACCGGGGCACGAACCCGTGTCCCCTGCATCGGCAGGCGGACTCTCAACCACTGTGCCACCAGGGAAGCCCTGAACCTAACTTCTTAAGAGATGCTTATATGGAATAAGAAAAGACGGCGTGGGGGGTGGGGGGACAGGTTCTCATGAAATTAGATTCAGCTCATTTCACTGGTTTCTAACTTGAGCCCAGTGTCTCCACACCATGTATTCTCATGCCACCCCTGTGGGGGGGCAGTCACTGCTGCTATACCCCTTTTACAGGTGGGGAAACTGAGGTGCAGTGCACTGACCTGCCAAGGTCATCTAGCTTGCAGGTCAGCGGGGCGCTGGCTGGCTCCACCAGCCAGACCCACCACTCTGAGAGCCGGCGCTGCCTTAAAAAGTAGCCAGACGGAGGAGGCGTGCTGGCCTCCTGCTTCTCAGATCCGAAAATACCTCTACCGCTTCCAGATAAACTGTAGCTTTTAAAGACTAATAACTAGCCTTAACCTGAGATGTCGGCTTTATATAAAACTATATCCAGAGGACGAATTCTTGATATATTCTGGTGACACTGTGAGGAATAACGAGCGCTTCCATTGATGCCAAGCCAGATCTCAAAACCGTCTAACTCTGGCCTTTGGAATGCTCTGAAGTTGAAAACTACATCCGTCCACCACTATCATATTAAGCCAATTAGGTTTGCTTATCATTTCTGCTTTGTTTGAAAAATTGCTGTGGGCCTCCTTCCTGTCTGCACACTATTTGATTCTTGAGTTTCTGGTTTCATCGGCTTCTGTTTCTATTTGTTTGAGAGTTAAAGCTGTTCTCAGTCTCTCCCTATAGATTTCTTGTGATACCTGAATTATCTTATTTTTCTCAAGAAAAAAAAAAAGATAGAAAGAAAAAGAAAAACATGACGGTTACCAGGCAGTGTCTACGTCCACTTCAAATGCTTAAATATGTTCCTCACTTTTAAGGTTCTGGTTGAAAAAAAACATTTGAAATTTTCCAAGGCTTCATTTTAATGAGCGATCGTGGGAACCCCTGCTCGCTGCTCTCTGCGCAGCCCCACGCTCAGCGCTGCCCCTCTCCCTGCTCCGCCCCGGGGAGAACCATCCCGTACTGAACTGCTTCTGGGCGCACACGTGTGCAGCCGGGCACCAACGCATCTAGGAAACTGCTTGACTCACTCACTGGAAACTATATTCCACCAATTACTGTGGTGAGAAGTGACTGAACGAACAGGAAAACACCGTGGAACTCTAAAATCTATGTCCAACAGACTCCCAGGGGTCACCTGCTCCGGCCCCCCGCCCCCCGACCTCACTGCAGGAGTCTCCTCTCAACCCAAGCGTCTGGCAGGTGGGCACCAGCCTCCGGCCCCTCAGCTCCCCTCTCACAGCAGGGCCTCTCCGCACATCAGCTCCAGGTTCTAGAAAGTTCCTCCGGCTGTTTCCGGTCTTCTGTTCTAGCTCCAGCCCCACAAAAGACACAGACAGACAGACAGACACATACTACTCCGGTCACCTTCTTCTGGATATGCTCCAGTTTCTCAACACGTTCGTTAAATGCAGACCATGGAGCTGAACACATTTGTTTTCTATTTGTACTCAAGTTTCACAAGTTAATAACCTAATGCTTAAAACAATACACAAAAATTGTACAAATTTATGACAACATAAAAAAGCACAAGGATAGATTACTTATCATTTCAGCACCAAAAGACAGCAGCAGTAATAACATTTAGGTGACATTTTCCCAGGTTTTTATGCATAGCTTTTTTGATTTATTTTGTCTTAATTTGTTGTAGGTTTTATTGCTTGTTTTTCAAATGATGTCCTTTTTTTCAGTTGATTAAAGTCGGGCTGAAAGTTTCATTCTTGGGAGAGTCTCCCCTTCTCAAGTTATTTTTCTTTCAGTGTCACCAGCTCACTGGCTCTCACCTACTCCCCCAGCCCCTGGAGGTCGGCTTCTGGGGCAGCCGCCAGCCAGGCCTGTCCCCGCAGCTGTCACCAGCCCTTCTCCCGCAGAAGCCCCTCCCTCAGGCCTCCCCCGCCTTCTGGAAGGAGACCCACGCTCCGCAAACACGCCCAGAAGCTGCTCCTACTCGGGCAGAAGGTGTGGGCAGTCGAGGTTCTGGTGGTCATGTCCCCAGTCCTATTTCTTCTTCTTGCCTCTGTAAAGCACTTCACCATCGTTCTCAGGAAACACAGCTCTGCCTTCCTCAGGCTGGAGGGTCCTTGGCGGTGTCGGCAGCATCTCACCCCCGCCCCCCAGTTCTTGCCACAGGGAGGTGCGTGGAGCCCGCGTGGACTTTCCCCTCAGCCCCTCCCTGTGAATGACGGACTGGCCGCCATCTCCTGCACGACACTGTTTCTATTCAGTTGTAAGAAAAGGCAAGATTGACCGTTACAAAACCATGAAAGCACTAAACAGCACAGAATCCCACCTTGAACCCGACGGAACGGAAGCCTACCTTCGGCGTTGAGGTGCATGGTCTCCAGGGGCCCAATGAACGCGTACCGCATGCCCAGGCCGTCCGACATGACGAGGTCAAGGTCGCCCGGGGACACTACTCCTTCCTAAGTGGAGAGAACGAGCCGGCAAGGTGGTGAGTCCTCGGGAAAGACCGTTTCATTACCATCATTCTCATCCTGACGTCTCTACAGCGGGATCCCAAAATTCTCTGCAAAGCACTATCACAGGTTTCATTAAACGCGGCATCACAGAACTGTAGGATACAAATGGATCCTGAAAGGAGAGTGTGCTGTGAAATGGTCGAATACCAATTCAATCTCCAGACCCTCCACTGTCCCCCATTCTCTAACCTACAACCCTTGTCCTGTCGGAAGCAAAGGGCGGAAGCCTTCTCTGCACGTCTGCCTGAGACCCGGGGCTGTTGAAAGAGCTGGAGAGCGTCCTCCAGGCTTCGTCCGCCTGCAAGCCCGGCCGCGCTCAGCTTTTGATGCGCTCGTAAACAAGTGCTACTCTTTGATGCAAGGCAGCTTTGAGCAGTGTGTGTGTGCGTACGTGCGTGCTGCTCACACGGCCCTACCTTCCGCGTGGTCGCCTGCGGAAGGAGCAGGGACGCGAGGTGATGACCCGCGCGGCCGCCGGGAGAGGGAAGCGGCCCAGGCTGTCAGGGTGGCTGCGAAGTCTCCAGCTCTTGTTTCCGGAGCGCCTTCCTCCACGTGGAGAGGCCCCGCTTCGGGAACAGGGAGTCGGGGGTGGAGCAAGCCTGGACCCTCAGCCCCGGCGCGCACACACCCCCCGCCTGGCGCCCGCCTTCCCTCCCTCCCCTGGGCCGGGGGCTCCACCGCCAAAGTCCAGGCCCCCAGGAGGCCCGCGCGCCCCTCACCCCTGCGGCCCAGCTGCCGGGGGAGAAAACAGTCCCTCGGGCCCCTGTGGGCGTCTGCGGGGGGGGGGGGGGGGGGGGCCGGGGGCCCACGCAGGGCAGGGGTGATTAGGGGCGACTGAGGACCCTGGGTGAGAAGCCCTTTCCACGTGGCTGCACACACGTGCGCACGCACGTGTGACAGACGGGGACGCGCGGAGCTGCACGCGGAGCTGAGCGCGCGGCCCCTCCAGCACGCCCAGCCGGCTTCCTGACTCGCCCAGAGGCAAACATCCTGACTTTCGTAATAACCATCCCTTCCTCCGCGTTCCCGAAACATGGAGGCTGCATTTTGCCTGTTTTCCATCTTCTTGGAGATGGATTCACAGTGCGTTCTTTTCTGACTTGCGTCTTTCACTCCACCTCACGCTTTCAAGATTCACCAGAGTCGTGTGCTGCTGTAGGCGCCCGTCCTCGCGGCTTCCTCATCCGTCCTACTGTTGGTAAACATCTGGGCTGTCGTCATTTCCACCGTAAATGACTGCAGAGCCGCGGCCTGGCGCGTCCTCCACTGGGAGCCGATGTGGCTGCACCCGTGTCGCTGTCCCCAGGTGGCGCGGACCAGGGGCTTCCTATTAGTTCTAAACCATCCTTGGGTTCATCTGACTGCTACTGAGAGCAAATCAACTCAGTTCACTCAGATACTCACCAGTCGCCCGCCCTCCCCTCCTGATGGCAGAGCTGGGGGGGGGGGGGCATGTGCACCAGGAGGAAACACTGAACACAAGGTCCGTGGTGGTGCCGCCCAGAACCACCAAGAAACGACTGCTGGTCCGCAGGGTCCGGCCGCCTCTCTCCCTCGCTCCCTCCGCGCCATGTCTTGGGCAGGAAGGGCATTCCCGCACCCAAGGCTCTCAAGGCTCGGGAGCGCCGTGAAAGGCAGCCACGCAGGGGCTGCCGACCCTCCCTCGGCCCTGGCCCCCAGGTCAACATTCCAACAGCCTCGAGTTTCCATTCCACCACCAAACTGGGAAGGATGCGGACCCGGAAGCCAGCCTGGGCCTGCGACGGTGTTTGCCTTGACTCTCGTCTCCCAAAACTGTGTTCAGTACTTTCAGAGCTGACTTCCAAAGATTTCAAAATACCCGCGCACTGAGCCACCCAGAGTAATTAAATTCTGATTTGTAAGCGTCGTGAGCGCTAACAGTGACCCGACCAATCAAAGCGTTAGAGGGCTTCTCCATCACCCGACGCCCTCACACTGGAGAGGACCTGCACTTGCTTCACTCCTGCTTCTTCCACGGAGGGCGGTCAGTTTTTGACCAGTTGCTATTCATTAGCTGAACACGTTAGAAAAGAGAAAAAGTTTTAATATTTCCTCTTCCTAACTGCTTCTTTCTGCCCAATTTGAATTTTCTGAGGCAGATTTCTCTAAGCTTGAGTTTTTACCCAGAAGCTAAATCCAAAGAAAAGAAACGGCCACGAGAAATTCAGCCAAGATGCTCGCTGATTAGGGTCCACGTCACCGAGGCAGGTGCCCGGGTTCATCCCTGCTGCACTCAGCGCAGAACTAAAGCTTCATGTTCGGGATATTCTGAAGGTCAAGTTGTGCTGTGAGCTCCACTCCACCCAGAGCCCTAGTGCCACCTGTGGCCTAGATGTTAACATTATCAATAATAACTAAATAAATCCTTGCTACGGCATAAAAGGCGGGCCAAGCGCTTGAGATGAATGGATCTGGTGACGACTCCTTGGATAGACAGGACCCCCGCAGCAGTTTGAGGACTGAAACCCCCTCATTCCAGTGTGCCTGGGGGGGTCAGTATAGCTATCAGTACTTCCTCCATCTCGTGGTAAAATTCTCAAGTCACACGTACAAGGAAAAGCCCCAAGTGGTTAAAAGTTTCCTAAATCTCAGACAGAACAATGAACACTATGATCACTGCTAGTTCAAAAGGTGGTTTGCATCATGTCCTGAAAAACCACTGGATGAGGAGAGCCCAGCCAGAGTGGGCAGGAGCCCCTTCACTGAACACCTCCTGCCTCAACTCACCTCCTTTAGCTAAAGTCTAAGACTCTCCACAATCCACCAACACACACCCACGGCCTGGGCATATACTTTGCACCTGGCGTGCTCACAGGAGGTTCCCAGACTGCCGCCCACAAGCAAGGTGCAAACTTCAAGTGCAATGAAAGGTCTGGGATGTACCAGTCAGGGTCCCACCAGAGAGACAGAACCGCTCAGCTATAGATACGCCAAGAGATTTATGCCAAACGATCGGCGTGTGGACACCGGCACATCTGAGATCCAGGGCGGGAGCCGCTGGTGGAGACTTCAGCTCTGCCCTTAAGGCTGTTCAATTGATGGGATGAAGTTTGCCCAGATTATGGAGAATAATCTCCTTACTCGAGTCAACTGACTGTAGCTGCTAATCGCATCTATAAAACATCTTCAGAGAATCACGGGCAAAGCCCGTGTGTGACTCAATGAGCGGCCCTCCGGCCCAGTCCAGCCGATCCTCGCAGGGGGCAGAGTGGAAGCTCAAAGCACGATCCTTACCCTCGGGCATCCTGGGTCTGGTACTTTGTGAGCAGGGGGAGGAGGATGGGAAGACACCACTAAAATAAGGACCGTGGTGCTCGGCCTGTCCTTCGGGGGTACGCGAAAGAAGGGGGAGGCGGCGGGGGTCTTGCGTAGCTCAGGAATGCAAAATCTGCTGAAGGGAGAGCCATGGGACTGTTTCCTCTACTGATGACCAGCTGCCCAGAAATATCCTTCCTTCTAATCACCCCCTTCTCATATTAAACTTTCTTGTTCGAGGCACCTATTTTTGGCATATGGCCTCACAGTCACTTGCCTTCCTCACGTTTCTCGTGCCGTCTTTCCTTGTCTGGTTCTTTTTTACTATTTCCAGCTTTTGATCTACTTTGTTTTGCTCTACTTTTCACCACACCTGGTCCTGAATTTTCAAGTCTCTCTTGCGCAAACACTTCTCCACCTTGGCCGGCACCATCACCACGAGGAACAGACCCGCCTCCCAGGAATCTGGACGAGGTTATACACAAGTTCCCCCAACCAGAGCTGCGCAGGCTTCAATCCAATGTCTTAACTGAGACAAAAAAAGCTTTAGTGTGTCAGACGACGAAATGCAACATCCAGGGGCGTGAAGGAAGCGTGCGCTGGTCCAGCGTCACCCCCCCCCCCGTCAGAGGCCCAGGAGAAGGGGTTACAGAGAAAGAGGTCACCTCAGGCTTAGTCCCCGATCCCCAGAGACGTTCAGTGTCAAGCCAGACGCCAGTGACCCCGGTGCAGAGATAGTCAAGCCCGAGTCGGGGCACTGGACTCTTGAGAAAGTCCATCCCTGCAGCCCTTATGAACACACAGCACAGAGTAGTAACGTAGTTACTGACCGTGGAGTTTAAACCAAGGACTATCACGATGATGAGGGTTCGGGTTTTTCTCACAAGAAACCAGCTAGAACCATGAGTTAGTTCCTTCCACTCACGTACGCCTGCATGCCTTTGTTTCCTACACTCTTTCGCTAAGCACTGCGTCTCCCACACACAATATGAAAACTGGCTCCGGAGCCAGTGACGAAGCCCTGATTCACCCGTCCCCACCCACACTTCCTTCCGGGGAAAAGGCGAGGCAAGGACAGGACTTTCATAGGTGAAAAAGGGGAGACTGCCAAGTGCTGCCCCGCTGTCACCCAGAGGCTGCCGGGTCTGTGAGCCGCTCAGCACCCTGTGTTTTCCTGGAAGCGGGGCGGGGCCATTCCTGCGGGATGACACAGGCAAACCGTGCGACCCTGGAGAAGAGCTGACTGAACACATTTAGCTGATGCAACGGGACAGACTCATACGCATCAAACCCCCGCATCCAGCGCCTCAGAGGGGACGCGGGGCAAGGAGACGAGAGCTCACGGTGGACGGTCCCGGCCAGGCCACTGGGAAGCGAGGGGCAGACGGGGCCACGTCCTCGGCAGGTGTCCGGCCCGACGCGGCGATCCCACTGCCCGAATTGTTCTGGGAGAAGAAGGCGCCAGAGGAGGAGACCGTATGTGCAAAGAGGCATCGTACGGCAGAAAACTTGAAATGATCTTAAAACAACCCACAGCAGGCGAACGATTAGGTTTTTTCAAAAGGATCAGTGGAATGGAATCTCATGAAGCCATTAGAAATGAATAAAAAGTCGAGGAAAGTTGTTTTTTTTTTTTTTTTTTTTTTTGCGGTACGCAGGCCTCTCAC